TATAGCTGGGAATGTACATACAGGAATAAGAGCAGGATTTCCTTACAAATATGTCCTTTATTATACAAAATAAATAAATAAAAAAATAAAAACCACACACGTCTCTTTGTCAATAGACCACTAGATGGTTTCTAAACTAAAATAGAGAATAGTTAAACCAAAACCAAGTTGTCAAAAAGTGTCAGATACTGTCTCTAGCTTGGCTATAGTCACAATTCGGCTTCCTTAGCCTAAATTCGGCAATTGGGTTCTCAAGTCAATACCATACAATGCATAGTAAAATAAACACACAGGACCACATTTACCTTCCACAACAGACACTAAAATCTCAGATATAATGCACACATAGCCACATTCATGAATTACAATTTTCTATTATATCAATACAGAACAAAGCATAAAACTTTGCTTGATATACAAAGCACAGAAGATCTATGGTTGTACACTACATAGTTTTGCATTTTAAGGAACATAAATATTGTATGCTACACGAACCATACATAGGGCTTGCTATTCATTGTATCATAAGCCCACATTCACATACCTCACATCACACCATACATAGACTATATAATATATACACAGCACAGCATCAACAAACAGCCTCTGCTGATGAATAGCACATTTATAAACAGGTGCACTAATGACATCCTGGATCACATACATACTGGGCATTAGTAAACGGCACATACTATACATCAGGGGTGCCCAAAAGGTAGACCCCCAGGGGGGGCGGGGCCGGACCACCATGCTGAGAGGTTGCATACAAGACAAGCTCCTGCAGATTAACAACATTAATACCTACAAAAAGCAAATAATCTACCTATCTTCAGTTAAGAAGCAGCGGTCCTGCGGGCAAAGAGGTGCTGGAGCTGAGGCCACTCGGATTACAAGCGTTTTGACCCCTGAGAAAGCACATCAGCACAGCTACATCTGAGGCCTACCCGAGCGGTGAGTGGGGTGGACGGCCGCCACCTCGCTATCCTGCCCTGCGGTCTCCCTTCGGAGCTCCGACGCCACGCGGTAAGGGCCCCGTATCCCCCCCCTTTGGACCGGTGGGGGTCATCCCGGTCCCAGGAGACTGTCTCCGCAACCTGTAATGCCTGGGTCTGAGAGCGCTCCCCACAACCAAAACGGCGGAAGCAGCAGGCAAACCTGAAATGGCGGCGCAACCAGAGAGCACCAGGTCTCAGCAGATCCGATTCCTCGAGGCTGTCCAGATGGTTAAAAAGCAGAGGGGCCCCTCACTACAGCGATGTCACTGACCCACAGACGGGGATTCCCGGCTCCTGCGGCAAAGTGCAGTCGGGACCTGCCACCCGGTCCATCCCTATGCAACGCTGCAAACCCTGCCAACCTACACGACACCCCCGCATTTCAGCTGAATCCAGTAGAGGATCGGGCAGACAAACGGGATCAAACACAGTGCACCCACCCCTCTTACCACTAGTCACGCTGGACTCACTCCTACCATGCCACAGACTCTGCAGATCGGGGGTTGGATGAGCATGAACTGCCAGGGAGACTCTCTCAAGGTCTGGTCTGCAGTCAGAGGGGATGGCTCCTGTCACTCTTGCCATCTATGCAACCTGATGCTCTCTTTTTATAATTTACACTGTTAAAACCACTTGCATAGCTTAAGCCTTGTCTACCAATTATTTTTATATTAATTTAGTCCTGCATTGAGTCAGATACAAATCCAGCAAAGCAACTGTTTTAGCATATCTTGAAGCGTGATGTTTAACCTACTCTAACTACACTAACATAGCTAATCTAGCATTGTTAAGCACTAATAGTTTTATTTACTTTTACTCTGACAATATACCAGTTTAGTCAAGCTTGCTATAAAAATATAAAAAATGTGCGAATTTCCATGCCACTGCCTAACTTCTGTAAATCCTGCAATACTCTGTTGTGGCGTCTGTTGATACCCTGTAACCACCTGCACAACAAAAATAAAGAATTATAAAAAAAAAGGTAGACCCCAGATCTTTAACATGACAACCTCCATGCTACTTTGACATTCTAAAAGGTATGCAAAGCATCATGGGAGTTGTAGTTCTACAACATCTGGGTATCTACCTTTTATGCACCCCTACTATACATCATTTAATCACCCCCAGACACAGTGTAATGCAGTAAGCCTCTCACTAAACTTATATAATAATAATAATAATAATAATAATAATAATAATAGGCTATATTGCATGCAGTTCAATCAGTCTGTCTGTGCACTGAGTGTATTATCTGTACAATCACCATGTACCACTAAAGACCAAGACTCACACACAGAGCTCACACTCCCCAGTCTCCCCAGGCACTCAGTGTATTGGAATGGATACAGGGCAGTGCAGCTTGTCCTCTATCCCCCTCTCCATTCAATGTGTTGGAGTGCAGGCATATCTCCCAATGCAGTAAGTAGGGATTACCCTGTAATATAACATAGTGACACTGCATTGCCCAGCATCCCCCCCAGGCCATCCAGTGAGAGGCTAGCCCTGCACACTGCCCATTCAGTAAGCACTCACTGTTACCCAGGGCTCACTGACACTGAGCTCACACTCACAGCTTCTCCTCCAGCAGCTCCAGCCGGGGTAGACCACGCCCTCGCTGACCTCACACTACGTGCACGTCACTACGCACGGAGGCGGCAATGCTTGATGCTGAGGCGAGAAAAACCCGCCCAGTAAGGCAAAGTACCGCCCCGTGGTGGGCGGGGCTGACGGTGACTGGGAGGGGCTAATGCAACAGTGTAGCTGTGCAGGGGGCTGTCAATCACAGATAGTAACTAGCTGGCAGAGGAAGGGAGAATTTGCAGGGCTGGCAGTCACAGAGAGCAGGTAGCTAGCATGGTATATGGTAACCTGCTGGGTGCAGGGCTGGCAGTCACAGAGAGCAGGTAGCTAGCATGGTATATGGTAACCTGCTGGGTGCAGGGCTGGCAGTCACAGAGAGCAGGTAGCTGGCAGGGTATATGGTAACCTGCTGGGTGCAGGGCTGGCAGTCACAGAGAGCAGGTAGCTAGCATGGTATATGGTAACCTGCTGGGTGCAGGGCTGGCAGTCACAGAGAGCAGGTAGCTAGCATGGTATATGGTAACCTGCTGGGTGCAGGGCTGGCAGTATAGGTATACCTGCTGTGCAGGGCTGGCAGTCACAGAGAGCAGGTAGCTGCAGGGTATATGGTAACCTGCTGGGTGCAGGGCTGGCAGTCACAGAGAGCAGGTAGCTGGCAGGGTATATGGTAACCTGGTGGGTGCAGGGCTGGCAGTCACAGAGAGCAGGTAGCTAGCAGGGTATATGGTAACCTGCTGGGTGCAGGGCTGGCAGTCACAGAGAGCAGGTAGCTAGCATGGTATATGGTAACCTGCTGGGTGCAGGGCTGGCAGTAACAGACATCAGGTAGCTAGCATGGTATATGGTAACCTGCTGGGTGCAGGGCTGGCAGTCACAGAGAGCAGGTAGCTGGCAGGGTATATGGTAACCTGCTGGGTGCAGGGCTGGCAGTCACAGAGAGCAGGTAGCTAGCATGGTATATGGTAACCTGCTGGGTGCAGGGCTGGCAGTCACAGAGAGCAGGTAGCTAGCATGGTATATGGTAACCTGGTGGGTGCAGGGCTTGCAGTCACAGAGAGCAGGTAGCTAGCATGGTATATGGTAACCTGCTGGGTGCAGGGCTGGCAGTCACAGAGAGCAGGTAGCTAGCATGGTATATGGTAACCTGCTGGGTGCAGGGCTGGCAGTCACAGAGAGCAGGTAGCTAGCATGGTATATGGTAACCTGGTGGGTGCAGGGCTGGCAGTCACAGAGAGCAGGTAGGTAGCAGGGTATATGGTAACCTGCTGGGTGCAGGGCTGGCAGTCACAGAGAGCAGGTAGGTAGCAGGGTATATGGTAACCTGCTGGGTGCAGGGCTGGCAGTCACAGAGAGCAGGTAGGTGCAGGGTATATGGTAACCTGCTGGGTGCAGGGCTGGCAGTCACTGAGAGCAGGTAGCTAGCAGGGTATATGGTAACCTGCTGAGTGCAGGGCTGGCAGTCACAGAGAGCAGGTAGCTAGCAGGGTATATGGTAACCTGGTGGGTGCAGGGCTGGCAGTCACAGAGAGCAGGTAGCTAGCAGGGTATATGGTAACCTGCTGGGTGCAGGGCTGGCAGTCACAGAGAGCAGGTAGGTAGCAGGGTATATGGTAACCTGCTGGGTGCAGGGCTGGCAGTCACAGAGAGCAGGTAGCTGGCAGGGTATATAGTAACCTGCTGGGTGCAGGGCTGGCAGTCACAGAGAGCAGGTAGCTGGCAGGGTATATGGTAACCTGCTGGGTGCAGGGCTGGCAGTCACAGAGAGCAGGTAGCTAGCAGGGTATATGGTAACCTGCTGGGTGCAGGGCTGGCAGTAACAGACAGCAGGTAGCTAGCAGGGTATATGGTAACCTGCTGGGTGCAGGGCTGGCAGTCACAGAGAGCAGGTAGCTAGCATGGTATATGGTAACCTGCTGGGTGCGGGGCTGGCAGTCACAGAGAGCAGGTAGCTAGCATGGTTTATGGTAACCTGCTGAGTGCGGGGCAGGCAGTCACAGAGAGCAGGTAGCTAGCAGGGTATATGGTAACCTGCTGAGTGCAGGGCTGGCAGTCACATAGAGCAGGTAGCTGGCAGGGTATATGGTAACCTGCTGAGTGCAGGGCTGGCAGTCACAGAGAGCAGGTAGCTAGCAGGGTATATGGTAACCTGCTGGGTGCAGGGCTGGCAGTCACAGAGAGCAGGTAGCTAGCAGGGTATATGGTAACCTGCTGGGTGCAGGGCTGGCAGTCACAGAGAGCAGGTAGGTAACAGGGTATATGGTAACCTGCTGGGTGCAGGGCTGGCAGTCACAGAGAGCAGGTAGGTAGCAGGGTATATGGTAACCTGCTGGGTGCAGGGCTGGCAGTCACAGAGAGCAGGTAGGTAGCAGGGTATATGGTAACCTGCTGGGTGCAGGGCTGGCAGTCACAGAGAGCAGGTAGCTAGCAGGGTATATGGTAACCTGCTGGGTGCAGGGCTGGCAGTCACAGACAGCAGGTAGCTGGCAGGGTATATGGTAACCTGCTGGGTGCGGGGCTGGCAGTCACAGAGAGCAGGTAGCTGGCAGGGTACAAGGTAACCCCCTTCAATACTTACCTGATTCCAGTGCTTATGTCCCTTGGCGCTGGTTCCAGCTCTGCTTCTCCTCCGCTGAACTCTCTATAGTCACTCTCACTTGTCTCTCTCTCTTTAGTAACTCACTTTCTCTCTCTATAGTAACTCTAACTTTCACTCTCTTTAGTTACTCTCACTGTCTCTATATAGTAACTAACCTCTCTCTCTTTAGTAACTCACTTTCTCTCTCTTTAGTAACTCTCACTGTCTCTCTCTCTTTAGTAACGCTCATTGTATCTCTCTAGTAACTCACTTTCTCTGTAGTAACTCACTTTCTTTCTTTCTTTAGTAACTCTCACTATCTCTCTCTTTAGTAACTCTCACTTTCTCTCTCTTTAGTAACTCTTACTTTCTCTCTTTAGTATCTCACTTTCTCTCTCTTTAGTAACTTACTTTCTCTCTTTAGTAACTCACTTTCTCTCTCTTTAGTAACTCTAACTGTCTCTCTATATAGTAAATCACTTTCTCTATCTCTTTAGTAACTCACTGTCTCTTTAGTAACTCTCACTGTCTCTCTCTTTAGTAACTCTCTCCCTTTAGTAACTCACTTTTTTCTCTTTACTAACTCTCACTTTCTCTCTCTTTAGTAACTCTCACTTTCTCGCTTTTTAGTAACTCTCACTGTCTCTCTCTTTAGTAATTCTCACTTTCTCTTTCTTTAGTAACTCTCACTTTCTCTCTTTAGTAACTCTCACTGTCTCTCTCTTTAGTAACTCTTACTGTCTCTCTTAATGTAAATGGCACTCAGCTGCCATTGAGGACTAGATATGGAGATAATATTATTGATCTACCTAACTGGCCCAATTCAGCTCAGCTGCAGCCAGTGCTCAGTTCGCCCCTGCCCCTGGATTTTTCCAAAAAGGTGGCAACCCTATTATGTGCAGCATTTTGCTTTCAAACCCTGCACATACAGATATTAAACCTTTACAAAGTTCCAGGCTAGCTTATGTCAATTCTGTGCAAAATTGGCATCTGGCACCAACACTAAATACTGGCGCCAGGCTGTGACTCTATTCAGCTCCTGGCACTGCACCTACTAGAACTTACATCAGCGCTGTACTCTCAAGAATGCACAGATTCCAAAAACAGAGGCCTGTGGAGAATCCCAGAAGGATCTTCCATTCTAAAATGATCAATACAAAATAATTAATTAGACTCTCCCTATTGTCAGAGGGATCTACTGGAGAAGTCAATGCCAAAGAGTACCTAGAGTGGCAGTTTTTCTTTAAGAACCAATGAAGGTTCAAAAAGGGCTTGGTTAACCAAACGTTGCCTTTTACCGTAGGTGCTTATGAAATATTTATGCTGAAGGACCGCATTCAGATGACTGCCGCCCTGAATGGTGCATGTTTTCGTAATTGTTTTTCTCAAAGTGGCTACTGTTAAAGCAGGAACCACATTTGATCACATTATATTAAGCCAGGAGTATTTAAATGCCATTCTTTAACTGCATACAGGCTGCAACTCCCATTAACCATTGGGAGCCAAGTCAGCAGGTAAATGTCAAAGGTTTGTGGGAATTGTAGGCTGTTAACACCTGTGGCTCAAGAAATGTAAATAAAGGTCCAATTACATTAGTTTCTAACCCCCTTCTCAACATCAGTGCTCTCTTGGGATGTGATTTATAACTACTGCAGTCACGGGATGTGGTTTTCTATGCATGTCCCTGTTGGTGCCCCCCAGTTCCCTGCCTGTCATTGAAAAGTGCAGTTTGGAAATGGGCATCTGACCTCCCACCCCCACACTACCATGGCCGCATACTTTTCCTGTGGACACATTCCAGCGTACAAGGGCCAGCTTTGTCTCAGTTCAGACACATTGCGGGCTGATTTTGCACATTTAATCATTGCCTGGGGTACTGCGAGGGTCACCCTGGCAGTAAAAATATTTTTATATACATATTGTCTCCATGTGAGATATACTAAGTCATATTTATAATATATACATCGCACTCTCATAAATATTTATAATAAAAATGTAAAAATAAAAACCTGCCAAGTATTATTGATTTATATGGAGCCAATAATATACACTTACAAAAATCTCCCTGAAATGAATGCTATATAGAATGTGGTGCCACTTTGTATCCTCTCTCTGTTGCTTATAGCATAGCTGCAATGATTTGCAAGTACCATTGCAACTAGCCACTAAAATATGCCACTTGAGGTACCTCTTATTTAATTCTAGCTGTGCGACATTTACGTTTATGGCATTGATCACAGTGTTATCAATGTTTGAATTTTGGATACTCAAACAGACATAAATGTTCACTGTCCCGATATAACCAGATGCCAAAAGTATGGACTATTTGTTTGCTGATGGAAAAAAAAAATATCCAGTCACACCTGAGGTTTCTTCTAAAAGGCAGTCTTTATTTGAAACAAGGAAGTGGAGACAACGTTTCGGCTCCTCTATGAGCCTTTATTAACCCCTTAAGGACGGCGGGCTTTCTATGCCGTCCTTGGGGACCCGGCTCTAAACGCCGGCGGGTGGCATAGAACGCCCAAGCCGTCCTATGTACTTATCCGGTCGCATAGCCGTCCCTAGCAATGCCAGCAGGGGGAGTGCCTGGAATGAAAGGGACTGCTGCCTGTTAAAAATAATAAACGTTTAAAATTAAATTACATATACTTAGATCATATATATATTTATTATATTGTGATCTAAGTATATATATATATATATGTATATATATATATATATATATATATATATACATACACACACATAAATACACATACACTGTCTAAGTGTATTTTAATATTAATATATATATATATATATATATTAATATCAAAATACACGTAGAATGATATTGATTATATATATATATATATAAAATTATCTTTATATATAATATAAAATAAATATGTATATACGTTAAAAAATAAATAATACATAAATAAATAAAACATATATATGTGTAATTTCTTTCTAACTGTATTTTAAAATTAATATATATATTGTTATCAAAATACACCTAGAACGAAATAATATATATTTAATTTTTTAGATCTCAATATTTTTATAAAAAATGGAAAATTACACACAAAGACTTTTTTTTAAAAGTATGCGTAAACACTGTTATTGATAAAAATAGCTGTCACTACCAACCTTGGTTAGACAGCGCTCCGAAAAGCCAAATACTTAGACTTAGGAGATATTGCTCAGAACTAAGAGACTTCGATATACAAGCAGATTCCCTAAAAAAAAAATTTGTTTAAAAAAACTACTCTAAAATAGAACTAGAAAATACCATCAGGGACATCCAAAAAAGAGATAGAAATGAACTTCTAAAATATAAACCTAAAATCACAGATACAGCAATGCCCTTACCGATTATTTTTAACTTTAATAATAAGAGTAATAATGTAAAAAAGGTTATAAGAAAACACTGGCACCTTCTGAAACAAGACGAAATATTAAATAAAATTATACCTAAGCGCTCAAATATTATTTTTAGGGGAGCCCAAAGTTTTAAGTCTATATTAACCAATAATTTCACAAGAGAAACCAAAAAGACCCTTTTTCCCACAAATCAAAGGTTTTTGTAAGTGCAAAATGTGCATAGTGTGTAGAATCACTGACCCTGATGTTCCTCATAAAGTAACCGAATTTGTATCAAAAAGGACAAACAAGGTTTATAAAATAAATGATTTTATTAATTGTTCTTCGAAAAATGTGATGTATCTGCTTGAATGCCCCTGTGGCCTCCAATATGTTGGAATGACCACAAGGTGTCTGAAAATAAGTTTAAGCGAGCACTGCAGAAACATTAAAAATGGATACTTGAATCATTCAGTATCCAAACATTTTATTACACATAAAGACCCAAAAATTTTGAAATGTATTGGTATAAAAAATTGATTCCATGGAGGGGTGGAAATATTAAAAACATTTTGGGTAGAAAAGAAATGGAGTGGGTTTATAAACTTAAAACTCTTGCACCTCATGGTTTAAATGTTGACTTTGACCTGTTTAATTTTTTATAATCCTTTTTTTTTATTTTTTTATTATCTTTTACATTTTTTCAATATTATTTTTTACATTTTATTATACATTTTATTCTTTATTGTCTTTTTATTACTAGTCTTTTTATTACTAATATTTTTTATTTATTATGTTTGTCATCATACCTGGTCACACTACTTAGTAGACCAGGCATGATGCTGTTAAGATCCAAGCCGGCCGCAGCTTCTGTGCGTGCCGACTTGTTTCTATGTATTATTTCCTTGACGACGGCTGCAGCTTTGTGCCAGCCGCCATCTTCTCTCACTCCACGCCCCCCTCTGATGACGACGGTCGCAGCTCTGTGCGTGCCGTCGTCATCATCATTCTCGCCCCTCCTTTTGACGTCAGCCGCATGTCTATGCGAGCTGACGTCTCTCCCACGCCCCCCTCACTGGCGTCAGCCGCATCCATTTAGCGTGCTGACGCCATCCGTTTTCTCCCCCATTATGACGCCGGCGGCTACGCAGTGCCTGCTGGCGTCATACTACATTTCCCAGAACACCTTCTGGTTTCATGCCATCATGTGACCGTGCTATATCTTGATCATTTTAGTATATTACATCTATTTTCCCATATGTATTCACATTTTATAATAGGTTTAATATATTTTTACTTATATGTATTATACTTTTTCTGTTTTTATTATGTTTTAAAGACATTAATCTTAACTCTCACAGTGATTGGCTGTCCATTTTTTGGCGCCAATTTTGAATGATTGTATGTGCTATTTAAAGATTTCACTGCCAAGTATCAGGTTCTTTTCCCATATTGATAACGCCGTACTGGCGAAATGCGTTTATGGTTGTTATATTGTAATTTTAAATATTAAAGTATATTTGGTAACTTTTAATCGTACCACTTATCTTTTTATACACATTTATTTACTACTTTTACCTGGCATCCTTTTTATCTCACTGGACTCCAAGTAATCCTAGGTGGGGATTATACCACCAACGCTAACTACAAGGAGCAGTTGATCTGCTCCTATCTTGTGAGTACCCACTTTTATTACATATATTTTATTTAAAGCTTTTATTCAGAGAACACTATTGGCCGTCTCTTTTTATCCAAGTATCTTTCATATTACGGAAGGAGGAAATATACTTAGGAAAGTTACTCCATATCCTATAAGCGGGGATCAAACCGCTGCATGCCTTTTACACCAGAGCGGGTTCTAGCTCTACTAAATGTGAGTTTGCAATCAAGATTTATATTTCCACTTCCTCTACTATCAAAATATACTACACTATTTGGTTCTGTATTTGTTTTTATCTTTTGCATATGAGACGACCTACAAGAAAGATACAAATAAAGACTATTGTTCTGGACCAAATACCACCATACAATACGATTTCAATAGACGTTTCCAGATAAGACTTTCTCCTTTTATCCATTTATTTTATCTGGACTAATCGTATTTTACAGAGTTTTATTCAAGCGCAGCCCTTACTTGTATTTATTTTTACCTTTCTGTGTTTTATTTAATGGTTCTTGAGGGATCCCCTTATAGGGTTGCTGCTACCTTGTGTTATTTAGCGCTTACTCATTGTTCTGGTTTTATATATATATATATCTATATATTAATATCAAAATACATGTAGAATGATATTGATTATATATATATATAATTATCATTATATATTTATATATAATATAAAATAAATATGTATATACGTTAAAAAAATAAATAATACATAAATAAATAAAACATATATATGTGTAGTTTCTTTCTAACTGTATTTTAAAATTAATATATATATTGTTATCAATATACACCTAGAACGAAATAATATATATATCTATATACATATAAGTATATACGTATATATCACTATATATATATATATATATATATACCTATATATAAATAAAAATTATTTTAAAAATGTATATACATATATATCTGTGCGTATATATATAATAATTCTACGTATATATCTATGTAATAATTTTACATAATTAGGTCATTTTAATAATTACAATTTGCGGGACCTGCCTGACAACCCAGGCCGAAAGTCCAGGGAATTTAATTTGCTAGCGCTATATTTAACACTGTAACTTTCCAAGACACCATAAAACCTGTACATGGGGGGTACTGTTTTACTCAGAAGACTTCACTGAACACAAATATTAGTGTTTCAAAACAGTAAAATGTATTACAATGATGATATCGTCAGTGAAAGTTAAATTTGTTTGCATTTTTCACACACAAATGGCACTTACACGGACGATATAATTGTTGTGATATGTTTTACTGTTTTGAAACACTAATATTTGTGTTCAGCGAAGTCTCCCGAGTATAACAATATCCCTCATGTACAGGTTTTATGGTGTTTTCAAAAGTTACAGAGTCAAATATATGGCTTGCATTTCAGTTTTTTCACATTAAAATTCGCCATATTGGTTACGTTGCCTTTGAGACTGTATGGTAGTCCAGGAATTAAAATTACCCCCATGATGGCATACCATTTGCAATAGTAGACAACCCAAGGTATTGCCAATGGGTTATGTCCAGTCTTTTATAGTAGCCACTTAGTAACAAACACTGGCCAAAATTGGTGTTCAAATTAGTTTTTTGCATTTTTCACACACAAACAAATATTAACACTAACTTTGGCCAGTGTTTGTGACCAAGTGGCTACTAAAAAAGCTGTAATACTATAATACTATAATAATTCATTGGATTGCGTTGTGGCACTTTATTGTTTTACAGTAGGGACTAGATTTATATTTCTCATTAGACTTAGGGTGTCAGATTTATTATATCTTTCCAATTAACATTTTCATTGCTGGAGTAGTTGATCTCATTTTATGTAATTAATTTTATTGGAGCGCTCACACTACTATATATTCTTTATGTTTCATCTTAATTGTCGCTCATATTTGTTGTGAAGCAGCCCACCTTATTGAGAGTGATTTTGAATATTTATATATTTTTATTTTCTTCTGTTTTCAGCTTCCATACTTTGTTTATTTATGTTGTATCTGTAGTAGTGTAATTTTGTGTATCAGAATGTGTGTCTGTGCATCTGCATGTTTGTCAGTGTGTGTATGTGTCTGTGTGTTAGTTTCTGTGTCTGTGTATTTGCATGTGTGCCAGTATCTGTGTGTCTGTATATGTACTAGTGTGTGTCTGTGTATCTGTGTATGTTTCCATGTATGTATCTGTGTGTGTTATATTGTGTTTATCTGCATGGATGTCAGTGTGTGTTTGTTTATCTGTTTGTGTGTGTATATGCATGTTTTTCAGTGTATTCACCTGTCTGTCTGTGCATCTGTCCCGCCCCACACATACACAGAGTCACCCCCTTTCACCCTTCCACACTCACAATAACTTCCCCAAATCCTGTCACTCACCCATGCCTTATTCATCTCCCATTGCTACGCCACACTCACCGTATCTGTCATTACCACGCTTACCTGGGGGTCCCTTGACGTGCCTTCAGGGGGACGGAGGGGCCCAGACCTTGTGCTTTGTCAGGGGCCCCAAAATTTCTGGTGGCGGCCCTGACACACACTAACAGACACACACACATGCTAACAGACACACACACTCACTCTAACAGACACACACACGCTAACAGACACACACATGCTAACAGACACACACACACACTAATAGACACTCACACTCACTAACAGACACACACACTAACAGACATTCACACACACTCACTCACATTAACACACTCACTTTTTTATTTTTTTTATTTATCCTTTGGGAATGCTGGGGGGGTTCTCCCTCTCCCTGGGGTCTTATGGGGCTGCTGGGCGGTCGGTCGAGTGGCGCTGGCGAGGGAGCACTTTCCCCTGAGCTCCCTCGCGTGCCCCAGAGTGAGGCCGGGACCGGAAAATGGGGGGGAAGTGCTCAGGGGAAAGTGCTCCCTCGCCAGCGCCGCCCAACCACCCGCCTGGCTTGTCAGTTAGCCGCAAGGCTAACAAGACATTTGCCCTGAGCATTAGGGGGCATTAGGGGGTGGAAAATGCCACCCAAGGCAAATGCCTTGTTTGCCTCGCGACTAAATGTCCCTGATTGGAGCGCATATATATATATATATATATATATATATATATATATATATATAGACTTGTGCAAGTACAATGTAGTTAGCATGATTTCTCATTTCTAAAGGTGTACACATAGTTACATTGTATGAAAATTTTAAAGGGACACTCTAGTCCTTGAAAGCAGGTAAATTTTCCTTTAAGGGTTAACTTCAGGTTACAGACATTATATCCCAAAGGTCTCAATGAAGAGAAGGATTTGTCTCCTTTTTTGTAATTTAGTTTTAGTAACTGTAATATCTGGTTGACTCTGCCTGCGTATGGTCTGTATTTTTATTTTTATTTTATTATATGTTCTTTTTTTAGATTCTTGCGCTACAGCATTTGCTTGGATAGGTGGTCGAAGTTGGTGGTGTCGTATTTGCATAGTGACAGATGACGTTTCGCGGGACAATTTTGAGAATCTGAATTCTATTCTTATATGGCTCTATAGTATATAATATATATTGCACACATTGTATATGTGATGGTTAGGATTTTTGTTGAATTTTATGAGGTGTTTTTTTGGGCAAGCATATTGTAAATGAACCAGGACTAGAGAGCGTGTTGCCATAAATAGTCCTTTGTGACTCGATTGTGGTTCGATTGATACCTGATTGTGTCACAAGCGTGATAAACACGCAGTTTTTTTTATACATTGTCATTTACAATGATGTGCTTTTGTGTCATATGCATGAGATTTTTTTTATCTATATGGACTGCTAATTGTACTAATATGCGTTTTATATTAATATGAATGTATATTATGTATCATGTTAAATTCATTGTCGCATTTAATATCATTCTGATGTCACTTTACAAAGTTGTATGATTAGACAAATTAACTTATGATCTAATACATATGCTATGTATGTCCTTTTGCAATAACTATAGCACTGGGTGTTATTTTTAATGTATTTTTTACACTTGGTTTTGGTGATTGATTTCCTTTTGTTTATTTGCTTATGTTACGTGGTGGTGGTGGTATCTGGGTGATGCTGGTTGCACTTTATATTTTTGGTGCATCCAGCACCACACATTTTCTTGTACTATTCTAGTAGATTTATATATTTTCGACCATTGCCTGGGGGCATCCTGCATGTACTAAAGTGTATTTTTTTATGTATGGGCACAGCCTTAAAGTAAGATGGCGCGGTATATTCCTTTCATTTTGATCGTTGCGTTGGTACATGCGTGGCTTACATAAAAGCATGATGCGCACGCGCGAATAGTTTGTTTTTTACGCATGCGCGGTCAACACATGACTGTATGATGCCAGTGATTAAAATGGCGGTGTGGTACTACACACCATACAGTGCGCATGCATGGGGATAATGTTTACGGACGTGGGAACTAGCATTTGTTATATGCTAATTATAAGGTATGTGATATCATGGTGTTATTTTATTATGTATATATGTTATTTACGGTGTATTTTGCTCAGTGAATCTTGTGTATTATACCAATACCTGGGGTGATGATGTCACTTCCAGGGTTGGTTGTAATTGTGTACTGATGGCCATCAGCTGTATGGGTGTTACCGGGAAACTGACGGAGGCCAAGCACAGAGAGATGGACACAGGTTTCTTCAGGAAGGAAGAGATCTTTATTCGATTCACTGACCGGGACTCAGAGGGACTTATGTCACCAAAAACAGCAAAGATCTGAGTACTGAATACATAGAGTACATTCCTTATATAGCACTGTAGCTCCTCCCATAATTAGCTACGCCCACACATACCCTTAACCTAATCAATGAATAGAGTCTAAACTCATCCATCCGGTCTAACCACGTGGCTCATCTGAAACAAAGGAGAGGGACGCGTAATTCCAGTTCTTGCATTCCTGCACATGCTCAGTACATTGATGACAGTATCTTAGCTACGTGTAACTAACTAACTGATACTACAAACACATGTACCTACATATGCCTTGTGGCAATCTTGGCCTGCTAAACTTTTATTTTACTGGAATTCCATCACATTCCCCCCTTTGATGCTTCTGATTTAAAATAATTCCAGATGCATCACCAATCATAGTTTGCTTACACCTCAAGTTGCCATAAACCAGACTAGACTTTGCGATCCTCTAAAGATACGAACCCCTCAACATTCCTCTTCCTGCATGTATTCTCCTTGATCTAGAGCTTCATACCTGCAAACAGCCATTACCTGTGCTGCGGCCTTTCTTTCTGCTATACTTTCTATAATGCTCTGCATAGACCTAATTACCAAAGGAATCAGACATGGCAGAAGGAGACACAACATCAAAATCAGTATGACTCCACCTACCAATGCCTTGATTCCTCCAAACTGCTCATACCAACTACCAAACCAACTACTCGGATTATACCCTTTCCATACCTGAGTAGGTACATGTGCTAGCTTAACCATATGGCTAGTAAGCTCAGCTATTGCTTGCCCTTCATCATCTATTTGAAGACAACAATTGCTTAGATTAAACTTCCCACATACACCTCCCTCTACTGCCAATAGGTAATCCAAAGATAA